TTTCCTCAAAAAAGCCCTTCTGAAACTTGCTAGAGGCTGGCAGTGATTGCTTAATTTTTCTTAAATATGAGTCAGGAAGAACATCTAGCTTTTTATCCAGAATAATTCAAGGCTTAACTGTACAGACTGTACTCAGGCAAGCCTACCTTTAAACAAGTGCAGTCTGAACACTGGAGCTGCAAGATGTTATTTCTGTCCGATCTGCAATTTTCAGCCAAAATTCTAAATTTTATAATCTTAAAGATTACAGGTTTCAGCTCTGACAGAGTTTTGAAGCTGTACCTGAAACTCCTAATTTCTCTTGACATTTGTAGATCTGCAATTAACAAGTGGTGAATTCATTTCTAATTTTCAGTGCAGAACAAATCCCTTTAAATGTCTTGCAAATCCCCAGACTTGGGAATGTACAAAGAACACAAAAACAGACTGACAGAGATTAATTTATTTTACAGTTTTGAATTGTTGAGTTGACAAATGCACAAACTTATTCCAATGAGTGAAGCCAACAGTGTGGAAACAATTGCCTCCCAGTCTCTCAGCTACATCATGTAACAACAGCCATGCTCCATGTCAATCCACACCTCCCTGTACAGCTGCCTCAGGTGCTTCTGGCTGGAGAAGCCACCGAGTTTGGCCCTTATGAACTCATTTATGTTCATCACTGATCTGTGCAGGAATATCCTCTTAACTCGGGCCTAAGAGTGGTTTTGATTCAAGTATGTTGCTACAACGGACTGAAGAAAAAGCACATGATGTGCTGGAAGGAGAGTGGAATCCAGCAACAGCCCAGACTGCACTTTTTGTGAAGCCTTGCTCTCCACCATCTTTCTAGACACTATTCAGCAGCCATTGTACCAACAGTAAATAACTTACAGACTTGCAGATTTTGGGCAGTCTTGAGTGTTCATAAAGTGGTGCAAAGACACGTGAAACAGCAGAAGGAGGAGGAACTGTAAGATGCCCCCTCAAGGGGAGCTTAACTGAGAACTTTTGACCTCCCATTCTCCAGGAGGTGCTCAGCTCTGGTGCACCAGCCAGACCAGTCTGTGTCTGTACTGACAGGGAACATGCCAGAAGCCCACTGATCTCTGCAGACAGGGCTGCAAATCATGATGATGGGGGTCTGGGGTGTGTGTTGGAGGGAATCTCTCCTGCCATCCTGATGCCTTTTCACTGGTCCTAAAATAAGGAGCCAGACACAGTTAGGGTGGTAAAAAGGGGTTACCTTTGTCAGGATCCTTAGGTGCACAATTCCCCAGGTGGAAAACACCAAAGATGTACACACAGCATAGTGTGTATACAGTTCTTACAGGTTTTACAAATTAGCATATCTGACAAGAATCCCCAATCAGAAGCATGGTTGGTGAGGTAAACCCCCCAGTTCAACTGTTTTTCAAATTCCCCCTCCTCTAGATAGGGACTAAACTATTTATAAAAATACGTCTGGAAGAGCTGGTCTCAACCTTGGTTCCCAGGATAGGAGATAGGATAGGAGCCTCAGACCCCCAGCTTGGAACCTTTGGAATGTGTTTTGTCTTTCTGCTTATTGGGTAGGGTAATGAAAAGTACTGGAGATAGGCTACAAATACAATAATAGGATACAGAGCTACAAATTGTCTTAGGCTGCAAATGCAAGATGTGGCTGGGGGTGTGTATTCTACTGCCATCTGTTAGAACTGGGTGGGGCAGTCATTGTCTGTTAATGGGCCACCTGTTAAAACCAGCTGGGGCAGTTTTCCTTATCTCTCCCACAACCAATCCTCCCTGCAGGAGATCTCTTCTGTTCATGGCCACTGAGTGTCCCTGCATGGCTGATCAAATTCCATCATCCCATTGGGAGATGCTCTGCCCAGGGGGAGAAGCCAGGCATTCCCACCTGGATACAATCTGACACTGGAAACACCACAGCAGCCTTTTCCACTGCATTCCCAGAGGAGCAGTTTTCTTCTCCACTGCATTCCCAGAGGAAGACCAGGCCCATCTACAGCACCCCTGGAGCTTCAGAGGAAAACTCCACCCTTGTCCAGGATCCCTGCTCCAGCAGAACCACAGCTGGCACTGCAGGAGGGCTGAGCCACCATGGAATGGGACTGTGCCACCACCCTGAAACACAGGGGGCCAGGGCCTGTTCTGACTCTGTTAGTGGTTTTTTTTTATTACTGCATTTTTATTTGTATTTTTCCTAATAAAGAACTGTTATTCCTATTCCCATATCTTTGCCTGAGAGCCTCTTAATTTCAAAGTTGTAATAATTTGGAGGGAAGGGGTTTGCATTTTCCATTTCAAGGGAGGCTCCTGCCTTCCTTAGCAGACACCTGTCTTTTCAAACCAAGACAAAATTTATGTGTAAAGAACAAAGAGAATACATAAAAGACAAGGCCAAAAAGAAAAAAATCAATTCACCATCAATCCAAACTGATTTTGAAGCTAACAAAAGATACCCATTCACCCATTCAAGCCTCCTCCTCTGCCCACCTCTGAGATGTCTTACCAGTGCCAGTCTATTTTATCACCTAATGCACAAGCCTATTCTCCTTGCAAGCATTTCTGTGGTTTTTGGAAAGCATCTACTGAATAGTGGTGCCATCAATTTGTTCAAACTTTCTGACTCATTACTAATTGCACTTTGTTTTCTACAATTTAGGGAAGAATATGAAGTTCTTCCTTAATCTTCCTAAAAACCTTCAAGGAACATTTCTTCATTCTTCAGCATGTCTTAGATATTTCATTTTTCTGTGTATCGTCTTACTTCTTACAAGGTGCCTGGCTGTCACTATAATTAGTGGCATTTTAAAGCTTATGCATGTAATTCTAGTCTGTGCAGCTCCATTCACTTTGATGAAGCTCTGCTGCTTCACATCCACTGAAGTTCTTGCCTGTGGCTGAGGTTTTAGGTGTACATTTTAAGATAAAATTTAAAAAATCTAGGTTAGTTTTAGCCTTCGTTGCTGGTCCACGAAGCATTCTAAATAGTCTGCCTTGCCAGGAATGAAAAGACTCAATTAGTGCACTTCTGTACTCTGATATGGTACCAACTACATCCATAGGCAGAATTTCAAAAGGAAAACCAAAAATCTGAACCAAAAAAACACAATAAAAAAATCAGTCTTGGCAACTGAAACAGATTTCCAACACCCTCTCCCAGCTCCCCATGCTTCCCTTGGGCTGTCTGAGAAATAACAGATGCAAATGGGTTACTTTTGAAAGCACAGCATTTCCTCCCCAGCTGATGCAGTGTGAAAATCTTTCTGAAGCCCAGCAGACATACCCATGAGCAAGTTGCCTCTGAGTTTTGCCAGTAATGATCCATTTCACCATACTGTACCATAAAGAGAAAACCAGACAAGCACCTCCTGGCTGCATCACAGAGCAGAGAAGCCCTCACTTCTCCCCACTGCAGAATACCAATTAAAACACTAAAATGTTTCAAGCCATCTATTCCTAGTAGGAGCTTAATGCAGTGCAAAGTTAGCTTGTTTCTTCCCCTAAAAGCATTCTCTTCACACACCACACTCACACAAGGTGGAATGATTTCTCCCCTTTTCTTTGTTTCTGTGCCTGGCAAATCAGAGCCAAAGGAAAATCAGCCTGCTGTCTGATGAGCTTTTGATAAAATTCCAGGCTGAAGCACTGCACCTCCTGATTTATTTAGCATTCAAACATCCCCAAGAGCTTCTTCAGTTTTGCAACCCAGCCTCTGGCAGTTTCAGAACAGCTCAAAGTTAAGAAAAGTCCTTGTGCCAGATTCAAATATACCACTGGTAAAAGGATAGTCTGTCTCAAAATGACACTTTTGGGCTGCCTATCTGTACTCCTTTAGTGATCTGCATGTTATGTCTATGTACTTGCCCAAATATCTGCTGGGTTTTTCTCTGCTTGTTTTTCCTGTGGCTGTTGCTATCAGCACTTCCAGTTCAAGTTAACAAGAAGCTTTCTGTTTGTTTCATATATCATCACTAAAAGCAAACAGCAGATAACAGCTCATTTCAGCCAGGGTAATATTGCTGCCAGACATTAAAGAACTGAGCAGACACAAGGAAATGAAATTAGCTTTCATGTGTTGCTCTCACAGACCCTATAAAATTTAACTGTAGAAACTGGAAAATAATTATCCTAAAACCTCTTGTCTAGACTGAGCAACTATGGCATAAAGGAGACATAAAGGAAAAATTTAGTGAGCTTCTCTTTGCCCAACCCACAGCTCAGTGGCTACATACCACTGGAACTAAAAAATGCTTCAGCTTCAGTGATGCTTTGTTCACCCAGCAGATTTCCCCTGTAATGCCCTCAGCAGTGAAATGCCATCCTGTGCCATCCTTCACTGCTCAAAGACTCTGAGCAGTTCTTTAGAGCTGCTAAGGAAATTTAGCTGTCTAGGCATGGTGACTACAAAGAAACACAATGTGCTGCGGCCTCCTGTTCTTGTATAATTGTTACAGTCCAGAGAGAGTGACAGAGGAGGAGGATGACAGGGTACCATGGTGCTGGTTTTGGGCCCAAAGTCCAACAGCTGGGCCTGCATGAGGAATGCTAATCCAGGAGCACAGTGTGAATTTGAGTTGCTGGAGGCCCTGCACATCCACATCTGCTACATGGTATGGCAAATGGAGTGGAGTTCCATGCAAAATAATCACACCTGTCAAAATAAAGGCAGAAGTACCTTTGCTGAGACATTATCTCCTTGACTTTGTGAGTAACTGGCTACTGTGCAAATCCTGGAAAGTACTGAATGTGTTAATTCACCATGAAAACAGGATCAACACCTTAGAGATATCTCACTGTTTAAAATATGAGCCTGTTCTTTTTCTCTGGAAGACCTACAGCAGGCACAGTTAAGTTCTGAAGATTGTCCTCTTCTTTGCCATTTACCGTCACTTAAACAAACAAGGGATTTGGAGAACAGAAGTAGCTTAAAAGGCAACTCAAAATGTCTCCTATCACAAAGGTGCACACAAAAGAGTAAATAACATATGGGTGAACATTAAGGGTGGAATCCTTACCTGCCCTCCTTTAGGCTGGTATTTGATGTTATCTGTTGACCCAATTTTGGACCTGACATTCTTGAGGTCAGGTAGAGGCTGATTAATAACTCGTAGCTGCTTTGGAGTGGCTGGAGATTTAGGAGGAGTGCGAATTATGGCAACTTTTTTCTCAGTAGGTACCAGTATTGCAGATTTGGGGGTCCCAGGAGTGTGGGGAGTTCTGGAGTAACTGGGTGTCCCTGGAGTGCCTGGAGTACGGGAGGCATAGCTTGGTGGTGTCCCTGGAGTGATGGCAGTGGAGCCAGGAGTAGTGGGGGTAGAAGTTCCACTTTTTCCCGTTCTGCTACGAATTGGCTCTGATCCTACATTCAAGAAACAAAAAACGGCTTTAGAGCCACAGAAGCAAAGCTCTTCTTCCCTTTGTACTCCCAAAAGTGCATTCCTGTGTGCCAAGCCAGACACAGCTCTCCAGATGGCAGTGCTGCTGCTGGAACAGCAGCTGGAATGGGTCTCTCTGTGTCTTACTTGGTTAAGCAACCTGCCAGGAATTACCCGGCCATGAGAGCTTGAGCTAATGCCCTCAGAGTGACTGAGCTCTCCATTCTGTACCACAGGAGTGCTTCCCACAATACCTCTGCCTCCTGCAAAGCTGCCTAAACAAGGCACATCATCACATTTATTTCCATTTTGGGCAAAGGACAAGAAGCATCCTTGGAATCCAACCTTTGGGACTTGATCCAACCAATTTCAGTGGATCTGGGCAATAAACTAGAAAGCAGTAAAAATTCTGATGATATTCCTGAAATGAAAAGCTGTGAGTGCCTGGCTGGAGCTGTTTCTCATACCACTGCTGGTAAAGTGCAGATGAACCCCAGGTGGGCACTCAACTGGTGCACAAGCTATAGCTCTGTTCTGTGGATGGGTAGATGTCCTCACATTCAATTGCTGTTTTTTCATTAGTGCTGTGAAAGAAAGCCATTACCAGAGGCAACCTTGATAAAAAGTCACATTTACATACAAGTAAAAAAACCCCAACTATATCATTTTGTAGCAGCTCCATTCAGTGGCATTGCCAGTCCTTTTCACTGGGTACAAGGATCCATCTAGCTGTGCTTTCTGCAGCCAGCTCTGATCCTAACTCTCAAACATAAATAAACAGAAGCTATCTCCAAAGTAAAATTTTGCTGAGAATACTAATGGAAAGAAAGATCAAGGTAACTCTCAAAACCTGGGAACCACAATGCTGAATGGGTGCACATATGTTTTCACTCTTCAAATGTTCATAAATTGTAAATCCAATGGGCCTCTCAAAACCATCCAGTGGGACTAAACACATTCTTATTTTAAGTATTTGCTAATCATTCTGTTTATGCAATGATGGTGGCCCAAACCCAATGCACTCCTGTCCCTGGGGCTCAGGAGACACTCTTTGCTCTACATGATTCATTAGGCAGACTGAACATAATCCACTCACCTTCCATTTTCCTGAACAGGTTTCTTTCTTTCCAAACCAACCCTAAAGCTTCTCATTATACCATCTGAGACAGAAAGTGCTTTTTTTTCCCCACCTCCATGCAGGTCTGGTGTATTTACTTTTCACTCCTCAGCCCTTCGCCAGCTGCCAAATGCTTAATGGGCTCTCACTCCTGGTCAGGAGAATGGGCTGGCTGCTGTGGGAGATGGAGGTCACTCTGCTTTCAAAGGGTCTCTGTTTTACTTTTGGAACATCACTTATGAATTTCAAATGACTTTTTTTTTTGCAGAATTTAATAATCTACTTCCCTTAAGCTGTCTTAAAAAGGGTTGAGATTGGTTTCTAAAGAGAGAAGACAGAGGAACTCCTATTGGAAAGCAGGAAGCCAAATGTAGGTTCTAAGACTGGCTAAAAGTTCTGGGGTTATTTAGTAAATTTTTGTCCTGTAATTTATTTTAGCTTGTGATTTGATAACTTTGGTCCTCATACAAGGAACCTAGCTGGTTCACTGCACCCAGTGAGTCACTCTGCTACTTAACATCTCAATTCTCAGCAGAAATTTTACCCTAGGAGTGGAGCATAGGGAGATAATTACTGGGAAGCAGCAAATAAATGACTGTAACTATCAGGTTCACTTTTCCAAGACCCATCAGAATATTTCAGGTTGTCTGCTTCAGTTTTGACTCATTATTTCTTGCTGCTATTTGTAAATGCTCTGTGTTAAACACCTCAACCAGCTCTGAGCTCCCTGCAAAGGCATTTTCTAATATCAGCAATTAGTCTGGGGAACAGACCTCGCTCTGAGCACTGCAGGTGCATCCTGTCCCTGGTTTCAGGCACTTGGCATGTGAACAAAACCAGTCTGTGGCCTCTAATTTCCAACAGCACACCCCAGACCCACTCCTCTGCGTCAAAGGCTGTGCAGTGTGACAAATCTAACGAGGATGGAGAAAACCACAGAAGTAGGAGAAGGTTAAGATGCAAAATAAAGAGACAACTTACGGGTAGTCCGTCGTACTGAAGAGGAAAGAGAAGATGTGAGGGAGAGGGAGTTCTCCTCTCTGTCTCCTGAAACACCTCGTCGAGGAGGAAGGATAGAGGAAGGCCTTGGGAGAGATGAACGCTTCTCGGGGCTCTTGCTTACTCCATCCTAATAGCAGCACAACAACAGAGGAAGGTTTAGTTTTCTAAACTCACTCTTTGGGCTATGATTTCCTGTATCTACACACAGAGGGGGAAACCTAATCCTGTGGGCCCAGTTTGCTCCTCACACAGGAACATGCAGTCACCCTCCATGCTCTGCTTTAGCTCCCTGGTGCTTTTTCATCCAAACATCTTCTGATGACTATCCCGAGACATCTAGGGATATTCTTGGATCTAAATATGGGTGGATCCCACAGTTGGCTGTTACTAAGGAAAAAAAGTGGGGTTTTTAAGTACAAATTGAAAGTAAAAGAACTCTCTAGAGCTCAAGTGTGAAATTCCTATGTGAATGTAGCTGCAAAGTAACTGCACTAATGGTGTCCAGACCCTAGATTGGTAGGTGTTGTGTGATTTTTGCATATTCAAACACTAACTTGTAAATTTCTTGTGGAGATAAATTTTTAGTTACAGGTTTTGTTGTTTTTTTCTGGGTTTTTTTTTTTTTCCCTCAGCATGGGATAAATCCTGTTGTTTTAATTTCTTCTGTAATAAAATGCTTACTTTTTGAAATCAGCGCATACCTTCTCTTTACCAGAATAAAGTAAAACCCTCTCTACCATTAAGGCAATGGACATGTATGTTAGAGTATTCTGAGCTTATGGGATGTGCAGCCAAAGACAGACCAGCATAAGGAGACATTCTTCCTAAAGACAAATTATGATGGTCCCAACCAGTAAAAGACATACCAGGTATGGCATTAAACAAAAAATGTAAGTCAATGGCAAAATCAATTTTTAAACAGGGATAGTTAAGTCACCATAATGTAGATTTGAAACACAAGTTAAATGTAAACATGGAGAAGCTGGAATAGACTGCCAATCATATTCTTATATTTATACTGCAACTTCTTCACAAAGTCCTATGCATTGACTAAATCTGGTCCTTGAGCATTTGGATTCTGCCCTATTCCATCCCCTGCTGGTAATTAGAATTGTACCCTCCTATGCTGGAGGCTGAATTTGATTTTGAAGAATATCAACAGTGAAAAATTACATTTTTTTAAACTTGGATGGCACATTAGTCCTGCTGCTCTTTACCACCTACCCACTTGCAAATGGCTGTCACTTCTTGGCAGTTACTGAAGTAGCATCCACATGATCAATAGGAAGAAGATATGTCTTTCTAGTCGTAACTTCACTTACATTTCCTCTGGAGTATCTCCATTTTTATCCATCTTGTAGCCTGCTAATCAGTTTTCCTGCCACTGGATGTAAGTAATCCCACAGGAGCTTCACAGAGAATTACTCAAATTCAGTGGGTAGATAACGTGTTTCATGGACTTCACCTGTGCATCTCTGACTCTCTTCACCAACTCTGCTACCTTACCTTAGCATCTGATTTTGAGTCTCTTGGGCCTGCAGAGGAGGGCTGAACAAAATAACTGTCTGTATCCAGACATGTGGCCCTTTTAGTGGTTAATGAGCAAGCTGAGCTGGGTCTTGGAGGAAGCAATGACTTTGCTCTAGACTTTGAGGCTGGAATCTTTGACAAAGAGGCAGTCTAGTCACAAGAAAACAAACAAAACACAACATGAAGCGGAACAAAATAAAAATACATGCAACATGGACCAAAAAAAAAAAATAAAATAAGCCAAGCTATAATACTTTTCCTGTGTCTGGTAATGGTCTATGCAGATCTGACAATCATGGAAGTTTCAGTTTTGTGATGTTTGACTGAAACCACCTTGGTCTGGACAGAACTACCAATTCTAGGAATCTGCCTTTTTCTGCAGATGCAATTTGGATCTTGTGTTATTAGGAAAAAAACTGGTGCCAGGTGTGGCATTTAACTGGTACAACTGCTGCATTAGAAACAAGTGCAAAGCTACAGGAGCACTAAGAGATCCCAGCCCTTTAAAGTTGAAATACATCCCTTCAGGATAAATATAAATCAAGAATAAAACAGTGGGAATCTGAGAAGCAAAGTTACACCAATATTCCCATAACATCAGGAGGACAACAGTAATTCCTTCTTTTGCCACTGTGTACAGAGAAAATCTCTAACACACCCCAGATACTGCTCTGTGCATTTGGTGTCACTCCATAGAAATTCATAAATTTTTACTGGCAGTATGGAATCCTGGGATGAGGAAAGCATATGTGGTTGAAAGACTGACACAGTGTGTTATTGTGAACAAATACTTGTTTGATACCAAATAATGACAATATCCCATTGAAAGAACAATTAAACACCAACAGGACAGACAGAAAATCTTTGTTAATACTTAGGAGCATCTTACAGAATGCTTTCTTGCTTTACAGAAAGGAATGTCCTTGAAACAGAACAGGACTACTTGCTTAAGAAACACCTTTTTTTTTTCCATAGGCATAACCAATATTACAAAGAGCAGTTGCAAAGGTGTTACTTTGGTAGTCCGGATCCTCTCTGTAGTCATACTGGCATGAAATTACTCACAGGAACAATCCCAATGGGCCTGTCCTCCTGGGATTTGCACTGAACTTTAGCACTGAACTTGGCATTTGATCTCAATCAATCCCCTAGACTTTCTCAGTGTTCAGAAAAGATACATGAGCTGCTTTTAAGTTGTCTTGTTAGAAAATGAGAAAAGAATGTGCTGTCCAGCTCTGACAGGCCTCTGGCTTAGGCTATATTCTCAGCCTATGGAAAACTGAGGCTGGTATGCTGAATGTCATCCGTGAATCACTCACTTGACTGAGTTGCAGAACTGTGTATCAAGCAATTCCAGTCCTACAGTACAGCTGAGAGGAGTTCTACTGGATGTCATCCTCCAGACCAAGTAGCAAGACACGAAATTAGGATGGAAGTGCTTTACTAGCAAGAGCATATTCCCATAATGAGTTTTGCAGCATAATTATGCCTCTTTCTTTTTTAATACTTATTTTACTGTCTGAGAACAAACAGAAGAAAACCAGTGAATAATTATTTTACACAGGAATCTACAGAATATGTGTTTCTGTCAAATCAAAGGCTTTGCCAGACTTTCACTGGTTTGTCATAGCTCAATTTATGGGTCTCATCCATTTGTGAAACTTTGGATGGTGTTTAGAAATCCTTGAAGGTATTTATTGATGCTGAAACTATGGAAGCAGAGTATCTACGCTGGGTGGCCCCAAGAATCAGACATTCTGCAAGCACCTTTCACCTGGCTTTCTGAACTAGAGATAGAGCTAAGCACACATTGCTTGAGGCCCAAATCTTCATTCTGTGGTTTTCACCATTTTCAACTTGCATGCAAGAAATTACCCCTATAATGAGACTGAAAAACTCCTGTAGATTAAGGTTCTAGTCACAGTGCAAAGATTTTCACTCATATGGCTCAGTGTCCTCTGTGAATACATGTATCTAATGTGCATGCTAAAGATGGACAGCACTGAGATCTATCAGTGGAACAGATGGGGAAAGGGCATGAGCTACTACCTTGAGCTACTGCACAGCTTTATTTATCACAGTCTAGAGTCCCTCCATGTTACTTGGGTAACAAGGCACTTTTTAGCATCAGGAATAGCAGCAGAATCTGCCCAGAGCTGGTTCAGCAAGCAAAGACACCGTGTCTCAATCCCTGTAGGAAAACTCAGTCTCTGCTAGCAACACTTCACCTCTGACCTATGTTTCAATTTATGCTGCTGGAAGGGTCAGCTGTTCAGAGGACAATGATCTGTGTGACTCTCACTGAAACTCAGGGATTGCTGAACTGGGGATGCAGAACCTTCATCTCATTTCAAGGTGTTCCTAACACATGGCCCAGGTTTTTATCACCTCACTGTGAACTGCAGCTACACAGCTGCTTCCAGCAGATGGAACTGTTTAGCTTTTCCTGAACTTGTCCTGTGGAAACTACAGTCTGAACATGAATAACAAAACTGACCAGGCTGGATAATCTAACATTACCAGTGGAGAGGAAAAGGCTGCACTTGAAGGACATGAAAGCCGAAAACCACGAAGAAACAAAACAACAAAAACAGGGAGAGGTCTTTATAAAAGCAGAGGCAAAGGCAAGGCACAGAAGAGAAAATATCCAAGAGGTGCGTGAGTGTGGCAGCCAGAGAGGCAAGGCCACAGGGACAGAAAGTAAGCAGGGGACAGCTTTCTGATGTGTGCTATAACATAAGGTGCAGGAATAGGAAAGGTATACAGAAAGATAATTTCACAGAATGATTTTGCAGTGCTTGTACTAAAGCACTCCATAAACACTGAAAATGGGCAAGTATTGGCTTCTCTTGTGCAAGTGTTGATGGTCTTTCAAGAAAAGACAGCAATAAAACATGCTCAGACTCAGCCCATAAACCTGCCCAGATCCTACTCACTTGTAAAGAAGCTCTAATAGCTTCCCAGTTCTGAGCTGGAATGGGTCAGACCTGCAAAACCATGGTTCCTCCAAAGCCTCCAAAACGTTACACTGCTCTCAGCACTACCAGCTTCTTACAATTCATAAACAGTGTGTAGCACTTCATGTGACACAGCTTTTTGCTCCCCAAAGAACTGATAGTCTGGTTTAACAAACAAAAGAAATCACCTATGGAATATACTAGGAAATATATTAGGAAATTTAGAAAAATTCTAATGAAATTTTCAATTGTTAATGCTGGGGATGGTCCTGCTCAGGGCCAGGAGTTGGACTCGATGATTCTGATGGACCCCTTCCAACTCAACATGTTCTACGTTTTATGATAACAAAGTGGTGTGCTGCAGCTGAGAATTAGCATGTGTCACTGTCATGGCAAAAATAATTGCATAGGGGAGAGTGAATGGGGGTTGGTTTCCTGGGGGTTTTGGAGGGATGGGACAGAAACAGCTCAGGGTCAGCAAGCAGCAAGGGAGTCTTTCCTTAAGAGAGCCAGACACAGGAAGCAGAAAAGGCTGTAGAGCAGCTGAAGGCAAGGCAAGGCTGTAATCTGACAGATTATAGCACAGACAGTGGCTCAGGAAGTGGCCATACTGAAAGCAGTAAATGTAAATTCCACTGGCCAGTAACTTCTACACAGGCATGGCCCCTGCAGAACACTGGGCTGTGGAATGGACACCAGGAGATATCCAGGAGTGCTGGGGGTGGTTTCTGCCTTCTGTGTTTGTGTAACACACAGCAGTCCAGCAAGGTGACAATGCAGGTTGGGTGCTGCAGGAAGGGCCACGATATGCAGCTTATCCCACAGAATGGCCTGGCCCAAAATGCTGCCCAGACTTCAAGTCCTGCAGTTTGGAGTCTGTGTGCCCTCTGTGGGTCTGCAAACTGTCACCATCTACCACCTGAGACTAGACTTCTAAGGTTATTCAGGAAAGGTGGTTTTAACTATCCTTTTAAATGAATAATGAATATGCTGAACAAATTTTAAATGGAACACACAATTACTGAATTAAGACAAAGAGATGTGAAATAAGGGCAAAAGGAGATGATAAAGATGAACAATAAGATTATTTTACTCACTGAGAGTTTTTCCTTTGCTTGTTTAAATACAGCAGGAGCCTGGTTTGTTTCACCACCTGCTGCTGAGAAATCCAAAGAAAGACTTGATAGTTAAAGACAGTAATAATAAGCATTTCCATTCAGTACACTTGTTAGACCAATTAAATGCATTGAAACTACTGTGTAAAGCAAGTACTTTGTGAAATACCCTGAACTGTATGCAGACATTTCCTTGCCTTAAAATTTTCTGTATTCATCTTACTTGAGGTAAAATGGTATTCTATGTGTTTTGAAGAAAATCAAATGTTGTATTCATGTTCCTAAAAGTCTATAAACAAAAAGAAAAAAGTTCCAGAAATAGCTGACAAATATGTTTCTGTTCAATCCTCAGAAAACTTAGCATCCTGATTTGCAGGACTGTCCTCTAAAAATCAAGCTCCTTTAAATCATCCCCAAATTAAAATTTTAAGAGAGGCCTCTATAGTCACCACTTTCAAAATATTAGCCAACATTCATAATGGATAGAGAGAGATTCACTGTTGAATTTTCATCCTAGTTGTGCCAACAAGGTCAGTGTGTCATGGTCAACTAAGCTCTCAAGAATTTAGAAATTCAAGGTTTATCTGGGACATCAAGAATGTTAACGCAGTATTTCATTTATTTGATACAATATGGTTTGAGGTAAGATCTTTCTCTTGCACTTGAAATTCATCCACACTGTTTTTTGAATGGGGCAGCTTTTTGGAAAGCAGGTTATTAGCTTCACCCCAAGGCTGCTGCTTAGGAAGTGATGTGCTGCTTAGCAACTAACACGAAATCTTCTGGCACCTGTGCCAGGATTCTCTTGGTAAAAGCAAAAGTAGGACAACAATCACAAACACAACCTTCTGCTATAAACCAAACTGTTTTCCAACTTTAAACCAACCCTAATTCCTCATACAGAAAAGGTCAGATTATTTTTTCCCATTTCTTATGCAGCTCCCAGACACAGTGAGGTTATCCCTGGACTTCTGTCACACTACCCACTCTAATCCAAGGTGTAGGAGAGAGAACTTGTGAGCAGGAAAAGAAGATGTAACTGCCTACTTCAGTTCTTCTGAATTTTTAAGAGAGGTGAGTACAGCAGAGCCTTCCCATGTCACACTCTACCACAGCTGTTACTGCAGGTTTGGGTCTGGTTTCCATCTCTTCTAGATAACTACAAACAGCTTCTTTCCTCCTTCCCTTGGCATTCAACCCTAGCAAGTCACCACTGGGAGCTAGAAAAAAAGCCGTGTCACTTGTGCCAATGTGCCTGGTAACAACCACAACTTTTCCACCTGAACACAAGATTTCTACAGGCCCCACAAACATGTTTCAGCTCAGGGGGCAACCCCACAATTGAAAACAAGAAACAGGAGCATATAATGGCCAGGTCATTGTCCTCTGATAACACACTGCAGTAGCATTTCACAGCCACCAACAAAACACAGGCCAGGTTGGGGGTTTCACTCATGGAGCTACACCAGTCAAGGCAAAGACTTCCCAACTCTCTCATCAGGGTTGGCCTTACAATTTCTTTTTCAAATGGACAAGTCTCTCAAAAAACAGTCCCTGCCTCACGGATTTGGTGCTCTAAGTTACTAGTACTTCCCAGTGCTTACCAGTGATGTGGGAATTTGTTTTCAGGTATTGAGGGGCATTAAGAGAAAAATGTACTTTTCTGGCCATTGTGCAAAACACAAAAGCAGATATTAACTTCTTTTGGTAGATATCTGTATCTTATGAGTGGACATGTTTCATTTTGAAGTCATGGTAAATGCAGTGTGGAGATTTTAACTGACTGCAACACACTCAAAGCTCTGTAGACCACACTGCCAAGAACTTTTGGGGGGCTTCATTACCCAGGCATCACTAAAGCTGGCAAGACCACTCCAAACAGGATGCACTGACAGTCAAAACTGGCTTCAAAAAATGGTGCTAAATTTCACATAAAAAGAAAACGGGAGAGAGACAATGTCCCTCTAGATTCCAGATCCTGGAGAGATCTGGATGACACAATCAAGCTCAGGGATATGTAAGACAATATATGACCACCTGCACTCTTAGAATATCAAAGAGCATTGCAGACTTTCTCATGGTCTCCACCCAAGTCCCATCAGGAAATATAAAAATGGGAGCTAGACGAAAATAAGGCATACTGTAATTTTTCCAGCAACAATGAGTGTGCTGAAACCTTCTAAGAAACATTTTTGGTCACCTTCTGGCATGGTTTCAGCTCCTCTGCTTTAGAGCTCAAAGTTCAAGCCACATTTCTGAAATTTTTATGATCAGTCTGGGTCCATCATTTTGGTTGCTCTCCACCTCAGGACTTAAATAAGAGAGGACTTTAGTAAGGGAGGTAGTTTTTGTATTAAATTTCTCACTTTGACTAACACATCTGCTTCACTGTGCATTGCAGTGAGGGAGAAAAGCCTCTGAGATTTGCCAAGGCAGCACATGTTTCAGGCACAGGGCAGATTTTATCCAAGCCCATTGCTATGACTCAGTTCTCTTTGGGCTCCTAAAGGTCAGAACAGTTCAGAGCAGGTAGTGGTAGAGTACCTGAGGGCATGACAGCTCTGACCACACAGCTGTAGAACTGCAGAGTTGAGAACACTACAAAGCCAGCGCCTGCTCCCCACCCATGTCCACAGCTTATTGAATCCCCTGGGGCTTTTGAAAGAACATGTCAATTATGGGTTATAACTCCTGAGCTATGAAGCTGTGCTTCAGCAAGAGACAGCAAGAAGAAATGTTTTAACTCTGTTTTAAAATCCCTCCCTTTTGGGTAGTTCTGGTTCAGAGTGCAAGTTAGGACAGCCCAGAAACTGCAAACTGAGGAGGAGCCATCAGTGCAACACAGGGTGGACAGAAGGAGCCTTTCCTTTTATTTCTCCTTAGAGAGGGAAGTAAATGGATGAGATTCTGTCACAGGAGCAAAGGGATGGGATTGTTAGTTCTGGTGTCCCAATGGAACACAGGCAGGATCCAATCCACACTTCCTACAGCAGAGGCATGAGACCAAACCTGCTCTAAACCATCCTCTGACTGCATTTTCACTGCTCAGACCTCCCTGCTGGGGCTGGCCTACATTCACAACAGGAGGGACTGGTGCAAAACTGCAGGGGAATGACTGCCTGGCAACACTTTTGGTATTGCTTTGCTTAACCATATGATGGGTAATGAATCTTCCTGTTAATTTCTAAGCCGTGAGAAGATGCCTGTGCACTTCTGCATTGCTGTGCCTGGTTCTTCTCTTATTAGCCCTAGTTCCAAACAACCACACTACAGTATGTGGCTATGTTACATGACAGAAAACCTGGCCTCTTTTAGCAATATTTTTTAAGATCACAATGAATGTCAAGATGATCATCCTTCCACTTGGAACTCACAGGGACCACGAATAATATGTGAAAATGCTGGAAGAGTTATTTTGGTCCTCTAAATAATGATACACCTATGAAGTCGTAACAGGAATCATTTCTTTCTTCCTTTCATCTTCCTCTACCAAATATTAAGATTTTTTGCTTGGAATGCATTTCGCAGTGTGAGCCCAGATTTCTTCTCTCTCAGCTCCATGCTGTATGTGGCTGGATTCTCCCTGTGGATTTTGACTGTACAGCATAAACATCAGTGACAGATTGGGAATTGTCAATGCAGATAACATCAATAAACAAAATATAAGTCTGAAACACTTCTTATTATGCATGAGAGTAAAAAAGCAGAATAATGGAAATGCATACCATGGTTTAAGTTGCCAACATTTTCCCACCAAAAAAAAAAAGCATAATTTAAAAAAAATTTAAAAATAAACAAAAAAAATCATCCACAAATTAAAGATGAGTAGAGATTCCTAGAACACCACACTCTAAGCACAATGCCAAGTTACAACCACAGCACTTGGAGGCCCAAGCAATGACAAGCATACATGATCATTGCCTCCATCAAACGAACAAACAAATACCAGGAAAGAAAGAAAGAGTAAAAGAAAAATGTACAAAACACTAAAAAAGCAATACTATTTGTGAAGATTGATACTCTTGGAAGAAAAAAAAAAATAGAGAAGCTGCTAGAGCTATGAGATTCACAAAAGAAAATGTCTATGTTTGCCAGCCACATTGCATAACTGAACAGAATGCAGTCACCTGTCTGCTTCCGTTTAACACAGGAGAGATGAGTTGGTCTAGTATATTTGATAGCAGGTTTTAAAATTATTTTCCTGGAGGGAGAGTGGCCCTGAACTTCAGTTTTTTTAGCAAGTTCAGCTTTCTTATACACTGCTATGGACAAAAAGAACACAAAAACACAGAATCAGAAAAAAACCCAGCAAACCATTTCACATGATCATTATGTCAAGTGTCAGGCCCACTGCCCCACAACTCCAACCCAACGCGGTGCTTCTTCTGAGGGGAACAAATCCTATGCTGGAAGAGGGGGAGCACTGGTGCATTACCCAGTAATCAGTGGGGATGTCTACAATGAAACAGGACCAGTGGAGCAGTGAGCCTTGGACATGGCGTCTCACACAGTTGTACAATATCTCATTAGAAAACACTACTGTTAATAATGCCATGGTGCACATAATCTACAACAGAGTAACCAGATAGTACTGTAAAATAGTAAGAAAATTTTAAAAAAAATTGTAATAGGAGTGTGAAATGAACCTTTTTTCCTTCTCACTTCATCTCTGGAGAGTGTGCTAGGTTCCTTTTTAGCTATTTTCCTTTCAGGAGTAGAAATCCTGCCTCTCCCAGTTTTAAAAGGTTTCTCTTTTTTATGCTTATCAAGAGATGATCTTCGCACTTCTCTCTCTGCTTTCTCCTCTTTAGGAACAGTCTCTAACTGTTCAGTCATGATGCTCCTATCATCATCTGTAGGATCAGAGCAAATTACAACAACAAACAAAGATTAGTAACAAATGTTAACAATGCCTCAGAGGAGCAGGGAAAAAAATAGTTGAAGACCGAGCAGATGATTAATTTTAAAAAAGCAAACTATTTTTACCATTTTTCTGAAACATGCTGAGATTACTATTATAACCGTAATAGTTTTGCTTTTCAATCATTATGATTTGGAAGCAAAAATATTCAACAGACAAAACAGAAAGGATAATGCACACCTTGAGTGTCTGCCCAGAGACTGTCCGTGTCCATGATGGAGTCATCAATTGTTGTTTCGTCTTTGTAATCATCACACGTCTCTGTTTTGTAGTTAGTGAGCAGAATTTCTTCTCTCTGGGGCGAAGCAGGAGCCTCTCGGGAGCCTTCCTTGGGCTCAACTTCCACTTCTTCAACATCTAGCTCCTCCTCAGCCTGGGAGTCTCCTGTTTCAATGTCTTCCTGCTGAGTAGCAGCGAATCGCACGCTGTGAGAAGCAGATTCACCCTCATCAACTGTTGTCTGCACCACGGTGATAAAGTCATCCTCCACTGTCACCACTGATTCAATAATGCCTTTCAGCTCAGGCAGGGCTTCTGGGCTACCCTTGGCTCCCATTTCTTCTGCAGCAGGCTCGCCAAACTCTGGGGGCATTTCTGATACAAGATGCTGTTTATCCTCTTCTTTTGCTTCTTGCCCTGCTTCCACCTCCTCTTCCTCATATTCTTCCTCTTTCGGGGCCCCAGCTGCCAGTTCACATGGCAGCAGCTTTTGGGTTTCTGTAGGTTTCACAGCCCTGTCAAGAGCCTCTTGAACTCCTTCTACAAGCTGTGGTATGCTCTCCATCTGAATCTCAGCAGGCTCCTCCTGGAGAGGCTCAGCTTTTGGAAAGAGGAGCTCCACAGAAGTCCCCTTAGCTGGTACCTGTGTAGGCATCTCTTCCCCAGACACGGGAGGTTTTGGAGGTTCTGCTTTGATATCCTCTGGTTTCACAGATTCTCCATTCAAACTTTCTTGAGCTTGATCATGTTCTCCACTAGATTCATAAGATTCCTCCTTATCAACTGCCTCTTGATGTACCAGATCTGGCTTAGTTACTTTTTCCTTAATTTCTATTTCTGACAGTTTGCTGCTGTCCTTTGCATAACTAGGTTCAGTCTTGGAAAGTACATCTGCATCCTTTGCTTCTTTGGAGAAGATGGTCTCCTCTTTCTGCTGAGTGTCTTTGGGTTCAGGCTCTGCTTTTTTAAGAGAAGCTTGGTCCTTCCCTAATGGAAGAGAAACAGCCTCACTGATCTTAGTGTCTAACTTACTCTGATATTCTTGGTCAGCTCTCCTTGCGGCTACCTCCATATCGTGCTTAATAGCGTTGTAATCTGGTTTAACTGGAGCTTCTATATCAGCTATTTCAGCTATTTCATGAACAACACTAAGAGTCTTCTCCTTCTCCAACAACAAACAAATAGAATCCTTTTCTACTGCTATCTCTGAAGCAGAAATTCTGTCATACATTGTATCGGCAGGTAAATGAACTTTACTAGCCACGCTTTCTTCTTTCCTTTCTAACACTCCCTCAGCTCTTGTCTTCTCTTGTTCTGCTCCTTTAATGGGACAGACCTCTTTAGAGTCAACTTGATCTTCACTTTTTTCTAGCACAGTATCCAGTTTCTCCTTTTTCTCCTCCTCAAAGTCCCTCACCAGAGTGGACTCGCCATGCTGACCTAAAGCTCTTTCACTGAGGAAGTCTTCTTTTGATTTTTCAGCAGCTGCCAGCTTCACTTCTATTAAAGACAAGTCAGGAGCAAGGCCACGTCTCAGTTTTTCGTCTGTGCCTTCGTAGAAGGGACAGGTTTCACTTGTTAAATTCTCACTGTCCTGAACTGGAGAAGGGAGAGGTACTGTGTACTTATTGAAAACACAGTAGCCCAAGTCCTCCAGCTGACTTTCAGCTTTCAGAATTACATGGTTTTCATTTGTCACAGGTGGCAGGGCTGTGCTGCTGTCTTCCACAACAGTGTCAGAAGGAACTGGCTTCTTCTGTGCCACCTCAGCATCTGCACTCACAGAGGCTAATCTAGATCTTGTCCCTGCCAAGTCTAACATTTCAGGCAGGTCAGGAGCCAGGACAGCCCCATTTTTGTAGTAATCTTTGGCTTGGAAAGATGGTTCAGCCAAGGTCTCAGGCTGGACTTTTTCTTCTGCCATCACTTTTTCTTCTTCTGTGTGCTCATCTTCCTCTCTGCTTTCAATGGGGAAGCAGGGGGCCTTCTCCAATGCTGGTGTGGTTGCTGGCAAGTAGTCATCACCTTCATCCATACTTCCACTAGTGTTAGTCAGAATATCTGAAGCGAGGGGAGAAAGATCATGTGCACGACCAAAACTAAATCCTAGGGCTATTGAATCCAGACAGGACATGGGCAAGTTAATAGACATACTTCTCTGTTCAATTGCAGATCTCCCCCCAAGTCCCAAGCTCCTGCTCAGAGTTAGGTCATCTTTATTTTTACTGTGGAGTTCTCTCTTGTCCCCATAGACTTTGGGGTCAATAGTGAACATTCTTTCTGTTGGAGAACTGGGTTCTTCAGATGTGTCTGGTGTATAGCCCTGAGCCAGGGTACTGTACCCCATTTCACGAGCATGCACATTCTGCTGCTGATTTAATTCTGTCTGTAATTCTTCCTCTTCCTCCTCCTCTTCATCTTCAGGTATTAGAGGACCTCTCTGATAAGGCTCATATTTACTCTCTTTAGTGTCACTTAGCTCATAGTAATCACTGCTTTGTTTCAGACCATCTGCTTTGAAGGCTTCCTCTTTCAGAGCAGAGGTTTCAAAATACTTTGACATTCCTGACTGATCCTCCTCTTCCTTCATTTGATGAGGAGCTGCAAGACTTGTCTTATCCTCAGTATCTTTTTTAACATCTTTCTCTAGAAAAGCTTCCAGAGTAGGAGTCTTCTCAGTGGTTAAAGCTGGTGCCTCAGGGGCTTTCTCTGTTACTCTGGATAACTGAGCAGTATCAGGGTGCTCTGCTGTTTTCTCAAGGGTCAGTTCATGGCCTAACTTAGCTGGGGGTACCTGTGTGCTTTGCTGCACCTCCTTTTTCACATCTGCTGCTACTGAGAGCCCACTTTGGTCCGTTTCTTTTTCTTCTTTGACAGTATCAGGTGACTTTTTAGCTTCACCATCCTTCTGAAAGTCTGTTTTGTCTGGGGAAAGTGTCTTAACTTCTGATTTTGCGGTAATTTTACCAACATCTAATATTTGATCCTCCCCTTTATCATAAAAGTTGAACCTTTCTTCCTCGTCACTCTCATCCTTAGTCATGTCCTTTTCCTCTCCCCATGGAGGGATTTTTGGGGTGCTTGGAGTTTTCAATCCATCTACAGTTACTGCTGAGACTTCTTGGAGAGATAATGTCCTGTCTCTGTGGATCTGTTCATCCTTACTGAGATCTTTGGCAAACAGTTGATCAGTAGGTTCCTGATGTGGTTTGAAACTGTCTTTTAGTGAAAGCTCCTGGGGGAGAGCAGGAGATGGGCCTGAAGGAAGTTCACTTTTGGCTGCTTCTGCCTTGGGTTCTTCTAGCAATAGAGAACTTTCACCATGGCTGATGGCACCACCTTGGATATCTCTGAGGTTGTCTTGAAACTTGATAGCCGTAGCTTGGTTGGTTGATGAGGGCACACCTGCAGTCCTTTCTTCCGCCCTGCTCACTTCAGGCAGCTGAGATGACAAGTGCTCTTGTTCTTGAGGAGCAGGAGGCTTAGCAGCAGGTTCTGCAAAACTGGCTTCCCCTTTCTTCTGTGAATCAGTTTTCAAGATCCACTCTGATGGAGGTGAAAGCATTTTTTCTTTGTCTTTGCTCTCTGAATCCTTTTTATCTGCAGCCTCTGTTTTTGCTGACTGTGGAACTAAGGCATCATATTTAGGTTGCTCAACAGTCTTACTGTCCTTCCCAGATTCACGTTGCTTTGTGTCTAATGGTTCTGCTGCAAAAGGGCACGTGCCCTCCTGGACACGGAATTCCATCTTCGTGGCTGCAAGTAAATCTGAAGTAATTTGTTTGGGTTTTATAGCAAAATTATTTAAAGCACTTACAGGCAGGCAGTCACGTAGCCTACAACATTTTAATATGAATGATGGAATGGAAAGGGAGAAAGATGTGAGCATGCAGCAAGGCATCCACCTAGAAATCTGCTTTAAAGTGTTAAATACTAGTTTTCTTTCAATATATAAGGTTTTCTATGAAAAATGTGAGTTGTACTTGTATAAATGTGAGCACTGAAATGAGATGATTTCATGTAAATTCATTGTCTTCATGATTGGTATAAAACAGCAAAATCACAAATAACCTCACTTCATTAGAAGCTTTGCTGGACTCTGTAGCTTATGTTAGTTTTGTGTTGGTGAAGTCTGCAACTTCAAAGTAACCACTGGTACCTTTGTGTGTTGCTGATATTTAAAACATACACGGTAATCCATTTCTATGCATTTTTATACATTGTTGTTCTACATGCAGCCTAAACTAATGCTAAGATAATGCTATGATAATACTAAGATAATGCCTGCAAAGGGTTTTGCAAGTCTCAGAAGAGGCTGTTTTTTTAACTGTATCAACTTAAAACACTTGCTCTTTGCCAAATGACCAAAATCTCACGGCTGTCACCAAACCAGCATGTGGAAATCAGCAACAGACCTATTAATACTCCCAGATCTTGAAGGTCTGGTCTTCAAAATGGTCAGTCACCTACAGCTGCAGCTGAAGTCAAAGAATACTTGGCATGTTTCTGTGAGACTAGATCAGATGCTAATTAAGTTAATTTGAAACTAAAAAGGCTACTCTCATACTCTGCCACTTTATTTTCAAAGGGTAATACCTAGTTAAGTTTTGTTTTAATACTCACTCCGTTAATCATTAATAGCTTGATCTTTTTTTAATGTCCTGTGGAAGATAATGATTCCTATCTCCTTGAACTCTTCCTATAATGGAAAATATGAAGAGAATGACTGCAGAATATTGCATATCTTTCTCCACTAATCTGTAAAACAGGTTTTTTAAGTTTTTTCTAAAGCTTGTTACAACTAGCATTGGGCCAATTCTGTTTCTTCAGATCTGTAGTTCATGGAGGCATCTTTTTCTCTGATGAATCTGACTGTTCTTAGAACAATTAGTATCGAAGTATTGCTCATTATTTAAATATTTGCATATGTTGATACTGAGTAAAAAAAACAACTGACATTCTAAAATCTACAGGTAACCAAACTAGGAATCTACACCTACAGTAATTTTGCTCCTGTATGTTCTTACATATGGTGACTGACTTGCAATCCCCATGAAGTAAAAAGCATGGCCACTGGGCTGATGTCATCCTCGTTTCACAGCAATTAAATAGCTAGACACTGCTTTTCTCTATGTATCCTACTGTGTCTCTTCCTGTGGTGCAAACAAACAGTACCAATGGCATCAAAGCAATTCTGACTGCCAAATGAATCCAGTGTTCTTCAGCTGGGTCATTCAGAACACAAGCCTCCTAAATGCAGCATTCCTTAGCCAGGTAGGGAGTGGGTACGTCACTACTCCACACAAGGGGTCTTAGCACCTTGTTCCACTGGCTGAAGAGAAATACCACTAAAACAAAAATACTGAAGCCTAGTTTTTATGTACTGGAAAATGACTGCAGTAAACATTTTGTTCAGGGATTAAGTCTAAACACCTAGTGCACCCAGTCCTAACCTTCACTTTGAAGGCAAACATCCCAGTGGAAGTGATGGAGATTTTGCCTAAGAAGGGCACTCCAGCAGGGTTAAACATTTGTAATAAAGTGGCACACGCAAAAAATAAGAGTTCTGGCAATGACTGAGGATAGGAGGGGTGGATTGCAATGGATGACAAGGGTATGATATAAGAAGCAATAGCTTTAAGGAAGCTAAACCAGAATGCATTGAAGCACACACAAAAAAACCAAACCAACCAAACAAAAATCCTGCAGACTGCAAATGAAAACATTTCTACAGTTTAAGCATCTTTATGTCATAGTCAAAGGCGGCAAATCTGCTGTTTGAAAGAAATGCAGATGAACCTCTGCACCAAAAAGAAAAAAAATACATAGATTAGCAATGTGACTGGCAAACACATCTGAGATGGGGAAAAAAGGCTTACACAGAGGAATAAGCTTAGCTGCAAAGCAATATTTTATCATGGCAAAGTAAAAAACTCAGGAATCAGCCGCAGCGGTGGGAAACCATGTTGTCATACAGCACCTACACAATCAAATTATCCACTACACACTCTTCAAGCATAATAACAAGAGCAGTCATACTAATAAATGGGAAAAACAGAAAATGAAGCAGGCTTGGAAAGCACTGGAGAAAGCTGGAGAAGGATTTGCTGGCAGCAAACACATGCAAACTTAAGGAGGACACACCTTCCTCAGCCAAGGAAGAGGGTGTGTCTTTCACGAGTGCTCCCACAAAGGTCACACTCTCCCTGCTGGATGCCACATTTGGCACTTTTTCTTCATGACACACTGAACCAGAATCCAAGTGACCCTCACAGAGGGCCTTTGCCTAGTCCAAAGGCTTAAGGGGCCTGTGGTCTTTCCCCACTTTCTTCCCAGGAAAGAGCAGCAGGTTTCACTTCCACAGCCATCAGACTCTTTACTGGTACTTCTTCTTGAAGATGGAAAAAACAGGGCACATCCCCACCAACAGTAAACTCCAAGCACACAGCTGAACAGGACTGCTTTTACATAACCCTTCCAGGACTGCATTTACATAACCCTTTCAGCTCAATATTTTCAATGTAAGTCTGTAAAGAACTGCCAGCACCCAGTTCATTTTAGCCACCACGAAACTGAATTTTCCTTATGGAAAAAATCAAACCAAAAGCCTGCCTCCCCCCACACAAGCATGTTTATGCCACAAGATGAGAGCTGATAGTATTTTACAGGCATACCTCTCCCAAGGATGACAGTGGGTCAAAGAGTCTTTGGAAATGGAGATAGAATGGAATGATGGATGGCTCTGACAACACTAATGCATCAATGAGCTCAAAGTACACTGATATTTTTCTACTAAATGTGCTGTTTAGTCCAGTACAAGACATGCAACTGAGGTGGAGGAAGGTATGAGGCATTGATTTCTTTCCACTGACCTTGGTAATACAGACTGCTGAATGCCAGCAAGTCAATCTACTGTATGAATCCTGAATTTGGCAAAATACTGAGAACCTTCATAGTCATAACAGGCCTTATGCATGGCTAATGATTAATGGTTTTTGCAAGATTTCTGCCAAGTTTCCTACACTGAATGGGTTTATAAACGATTTCTTCCTTATGCTGTCTGACACCTGAAATCAATATGTGAAAATCACTATTTTAACATAAGGACTCTTCATTTTCTTTGCTGTTTCCCCACTTACCCCCAGGCTCCTCACCATCAATTAAGACAAAGAAACCAATGAATGCAGTGTAACTATTTGTTCATCCAAATTTCTAAACCATTCCACTCAGCCTATAGGCTGTTAGGATCAGTATAGTAGAATCAAGAACAGTCTTTGCTTGTGCCATGACAGAAGAATTATTAGAAAATTCTCCATTTCAGGCTTGTACTCCTGCCACTGCTACTCAGACAAAAATGACTATGCACTATTAGTAGTCTCTATGGTAATAAGGATTAAGTGTGAATCCTGTGATTCAGCAATGTACTCAAGGAGCTGACCAGCAGCCATGCTGCAGGCAACCTGATGACATCCCTGAGTTTAAAATGTCTCACGATGAAGTACTTTGCTGAACCAGGCCTAGAACAAAGCATTTTCAAATCTCAAAGTGGCTGCATCCATCCTCTTGGAATTACAAGGGCTTTGTTTTTCTCCTGAGACTGACCCAGTGAAAACCAGACAATCAATCATCTGTTTCAGCTATGGCCTTAAAACAGTGATTTAAGGAACATTAACACTATTTGAGGCTGAGAAAACATCACTAGGTAAAGAACAACACATTATTAATAACATAAAATAATTAAGGTTAGATACTCTATCTTATATGAAAAGAAGCCAGAAGATTCAGAATCAGACCCTGACCAATGCCTGAGCATTGCAGAAGTATTTGCATGGTGGCAGATTGTAAAAGCAGCCTTGCAGGACAACAGGTCTCCAGCTACAAGAGACCCTGACTTGAATAACTTGCTTTACTTTTCTTTTTCTGATTTTATATACTTTTGTATGTGCAGACCTCTCAATTAAAAAATGCTAAGGAAAGCCTTTTATTTTACTCTGAGCAATACTCCTTCATTTCCTGGAACACTTTACACAAAGCCACATGAATAAAAATAATTACCCTAACTAAAAAGTTTTCCTTGAATTAACAAAAGAATCATATAGCCTCTCCTTGTGCAGCAGACTCTTATGCCAAACAGACTGCTGGCCAGCAAGGACAGCTGTTTCACACAATAGTCTCAGTTGGAAGGGCAGGAAGGATCCTTCACACACAGAAGGATCATCAAGTCCAACTCTCAAGTGACCAACCCATAGAGGGATTGAATCTTGGCATTTTAGCACCATGCTCTCACCAGCTGAGAGGATCTCAGGGTCTCATAATGCCTATCTTTCCACTCATGATCCAGCTTATCTGCCTTTTTTCTCCTCCACATAGATGTTCTGAGATCTTACACTCTCACCAGAGGCAGATGATATGACTGGAAAGGAAGCTGCCCATGAACTGATCAGGCTGTAATGTACAGCTGTAGGCACACAGCTAAGTAAGGCTACCCCTATGATATTTCTATCTCCCTACCTTCAGTTAGATATGCTGACATGAACAATCTTCAATTATTAGTGCTGATCTCTTACTGATGCTGTTACAGTATTAGGCTGATAATTCTGCAATTATCCTGTTAATTCTGAACAATTCTGGCTTTCTTAAAATGAGCTAGTGACCAGTTTCAGGGGGACAGCTCCATCCTCCTGAGACACAAACCTTTAGAGGATCCAGTACTATTTTTGGCTTCAGCTCCCAAGACTGAGTGCTGTGAAATGAAACTTCAACTATTTCACTTTTGAAAAGTCAGCTGTTCTGTTAGTCAGTGAAGAAGATTCTCCCTTGATTTTACTTTTACATAACCCCTACTGATAAAGTACTACTTACTGATGTGCTCAGGTCATACAAACAGGAGGTACACAGAGGCTTTTTTTCCCCTCTGTGTTTGCAGTCAGCTGGCACAATGCAAATGGAGTGTGTCCACAAAACAACTGGAAATCAAACATGACCCAGTATGGCCCGAAATTATCTGTGTACACGGGGGTAAAACTTTACCTGTTGGAGAACTAAAGTCCTTCCAGGCTATCTTTGGTATGGACATATTTTCCCCCATCGTGTAAACAACTGACTTACTTTCAGTAACAATATTGTGGCCTACCCTGTGTACTGTTCTTGGCAGTATTCTCTGGCACAAAGAAAAAATCAGCTCCCAGATCTTTTAGCTAACTGCCCCTTTTACTTCTGCTCTAAGCCAGGCCTGAAAAACAAGATCCCTGATTTAAGTGGGAGCCATGGTTACACTGACTTCAAAGCTACAGAGACATGGAGAGACTCTTGGAGGGGCTTCACTTCCATCTGGGGAAAAACACAACCAGGTTTCCCTCCCCAGAAGGCAGCAACGCCAGGCACATAAAGAATGGAATGGATGGCAGGTGAGTAGAGGGGAAGAGGAACCAAATGGGACCATGCTCAGTTCACCTTCATCATGGCCCAACAAGACCTCTGTGCTCTTCACTGTGGCACTGGGGTGTGTACTAGAGCCAGTCCACTGTGAGCTGAACAAAGGGTGTTCATTGTACTCCTCATGTGAATTGCAGAGCTCCTCCTTGGGCACAGACACTGAAATGGAGGGGGCCAGGTGCCACTCCCTGCTGGCAGCAGGCCCACAGCCAGGGCAGTGCTGGAGCAGCCCCACCTTATCCTCCACCCCTGCATTTACGAACACACACAGACAAAGGCTGCAGGACAGACAGACACACACACCGGAAAAATAAAGCAGGATGGACACATGCTCTAGCACCACCAGCCACTATGTCATGCTGGAGTGGGTGACACCAGCCAGGCTATTGGTTAATGCAGGATGGAGGAATGAGGCAGTTGTGCATTTTAACACGTGGAGCATGTACCTGGCCCTTTCTACTGGGTTTACCAACATCAGAAACCAATCCTAGGAGCAAGTGAATTTCAAAAATACACACTAATTGCTTAGAAGAACACATGCTGTGCACAAATCACATCTCACAACTCACACTATACTCATATTACACACCTGACTGACTGTATTAAAAACCTCTGAAGCATCCTGACACAGCTGTATTCCTCATAGTCATCAGATTTAGTACTTAAAAGTGTAAAATTTAAAAAAAAATCTTTAATTAAAAAGCAAACCAGTTTACATTTTGGCCAGGGGTGACTTTATTTTTCATTGTACCTGTTTCAAAATTCCCCACTTTTCTTTTTCCTATAAATAAAGCATTTATACAATAAATATATAATAAATTCCTATAAAAAATAGCATTTAAACAACAAAAAAAACCCTTCCCCAAATAGCTATCTACCTTTTTTTCCCCTGATAAAGGACACAAAGTGCTGCTCACAGCAGTCTCTGTTAGTTCTGTATTTTATGCTGTTGTGTCATGTTTCCATGGGTGAACTAGCTCCCACCTCAGTGTTTGCTAATGCTTTGGAATGACAGGCTTATTCCCATCACTGTAGCCTTGCAGAAAATCACATCACGGGGACTACACCAGCTACTGACAAGTACAGGGAGGGGCAGTTTTTACAAGACAAAGAAAAATAACACTTCCCAATGAAAATGATTGGCCTACCACCTCATCTATACAAGCCGAGGGGAGACTTGAGACCTCCTGCAGGCTGACGAATCCTCTCATCACGAATAAAGCTATGAAAAACTAAACAATTAGTGCTAGAGAAAAGATTTTTTTCAGTCCATTCTCAGTGTATGACATCTGGTAGTTTGATGAACACTGATTCATGGGGTGCCTTAAGCAGCTGCAGCTGTTCCACTGGATTTCCTACCAGCTTCAAGTACAAGTCCATACTTTGTGTCCCTGGTCTTTCTAAAGGCAATTATAACTTACAGGATTTCTCCCAAAGCCCCCAGAACTGTCACTCTTAGATCCAAAACACTGTCAGAAAGCAAGGTTTCAACACAGGCAGTGTAACAGATCTCTTTGTGGGACACCAAAACAAGAGGGCTGAGGAATGCTACCCTAACTGCAGTTACCCAAGCCTTGGAAACTATTTTGATCCAAAACAATCCCATTTATAAGAGCTTTAAGGTTCTTCCTGGCAAACAACAGTAAGTTTTAAGTTTTTTTTCTACAGTACATCATGACAAAACAACATCTGTATCTTTACAAAAAGCTCCTCTGCTTTCTCAAGTAACTGGCAGCAAGTGTCCTGTAATGGCATGGCATGGATTTCTTCTGCCTGGGAAAGGATTGCTGTAGGAGAAACCAATTCCATGGGTCCATGTTTGAGGCTGGCTGGGACCAAAGGCATGCTGTGTGCACAAAGACTCCACATGGAACTCAGTCAGGAGAACTGCATTCACAGTTTCTTTCAGGGAACAAAGAGTGCACAAACCACTGATAATTTGGCTGCTTCTCTTCTGTAGTGGAATCCAACCCCCATATTCAGGGGTTTATGCAATATTAAAAGAGGCAGGTGTGGAAAGAACCTAGCAACCCACTTCTAGCAAGCAGGAAGCTCTGCAGAGCACTGCAGTAGGAAATGCTAAGCACAGCATTGTGCCCAAGCTTCCCATTTTCCCCTAGTACTCAAGAGCCAAAACCAAGGTTTCAGGGAATCATCTCAATCTACTTGCAGTGCAGAACCTGTGGATTTCTTCTCCACAGAAACATCTACAACATTCTGTAACAGATTTGAGAGGGTTCAGAGTTTGCAAAAGGCAGATTACAGGGGGTGAACCCACAGTTCAGGGCATGAGAGACCAGGAATCAACTCCCTCCTAAATCCAAGGTTCAAAACGTCAACCCCCCCCTTCTCAGCAGGGTGCCCTCACACCAGCCCAGGAATTACTGAAGACAAGAGCTGAATGAGCAGAAGCACTTGCCACTTATTCAGCTGGAACTGGGACATGAAGAAAAGAAGGGGAAGGTTGATACGGTCAAGAAGCTGAACACCGAAAAGAAAGATGTGAAGAAGGGGAGGTTCTCCTTCCAGCTGTGGGATTATTTATCCAGGGGCTCTTCAAAAGCAAAATGCATCAACAAGAGTGAAGGTGAAATCCCAGCATTTGTCCATACTGTTGCAAACAAGGCTGAAAATCCCTTCTTTCTAGGCTCTGAACAGACTGTAGGAGAGAAAACAGAGGCCTTGCCTCTGCTCCTTAAAACTGCAGGAACTGACAGCAGTAAAAATGATTAATTAATACACACATTGTGATGGTCCAAAATCACCAGGAGTGCAAAGTCTGCTGCTGTTTGGGGCTGTTACATTTGTGGCTATTTTACAGATTTACATTGGTTTTTTATCAGTTTGAAGAAAGATATTTTCAGAATTAATGCAGATAATTTCATTAACAGGATAATGATGTCTTCTAAGGAGGCTATGCTTTTATTTCAGCAACAAGAGAAATCCATTGTTATTATAGTCCCTTCTAATCTTTTCTGTCTCAATACATGGGAAAATCCCTAATGCACTTTAAAGTCCAAGATTAAAATCACTTCTCACAAAGGCTAATTCTGCCTTACTTTCCTTGTATATTTTGAGAATGCCTTTCAAGAAGTCATTTTCACTGTCAACAGACCCATTTTCACAAAACACTCGATTCTTTTCAGTTTACAAAACATTCTTATTTGGTATATAAAGGCTAACCTGCCTATTTCAAAGTGGAAGACAGTCCATCAGAGGCACCCTTCTTTTCCTTAATGTTTAAAATTTTTTTATATGAAAACATTGTTGACCATCATCAAAAGGCAAAGAGCACAAAAGAAATTAGAATATTACATCAGTCCTGCAAGAGCAGATACAACTGATAAAAGGATTAGAGGGTGCTAGGAAGAATTTAATTTCCTGAACAAAATTATGATATTATAGTTAAAATAAATATAATAATTTTAATAAGGCAAATCAGTTCTCTTACCTTCTGCAGCAGTAAAAAGGGACAGGTTCATTTGAATGTTTTCCTGCAGCCAAATCAAAGAAACCTACATCCAGCCGACTCCTTCCTCTCATGAAATAAACCTGACCCACAAACCTCTCTGTCTTTCCTACCTTTTTTTTTTTTTCTTTTAATTTGTGTTTGCTGCATGGCTGGCCACATCCACCTTTGTCAGTCTACAACAGTGATTTCCTTCCTACATTGACTGAAGAAGTCTCTTGGATTCAAAGCAATGCGACACACACTGACAAGTGCATTAGGAAGAGTTTCTAGGAGAAGGGAAAAAAAAGGTCTGAGGCAGACACACCAAGTGCTCACTTTTTTTGTTCAATTAATTAATAAACTGTATTTTACTAAGCAGAAAGATGGACAATGTAAAGATGCATGAGGATGGATTGCCAGATGATATAGGGAACAGGAGGTTTAAACAAGTACAGTAAAACTGGGTCAAACCCTACTGAGGCAAACTCTTCTGAATGGGAACTTTGCCTGAATAAAATTGACAGGTCTGGCTCACTCAGGTCAGCAAAAACCGAACTTACCCACAGAAAACAAGGACTGTATATCCCAATACAGAGCAGAGCCCAAGATTTTTACTACCATTTTAACTACACTGAACTGACAAAACTGATATTTTTGTAAAAAGTAACATAATAAATTTGTAATGAAATTATTTCCAAGTTCTTTCTGTTGCTTCAAACAACTCTACTATGAGTTCCTGTTTGAGAGCCAGACATAAACAAGAAGCTTCCAGCACAGCTCATTAAAGACTCAGGACATCACTTCTATCCATACTTCCCTTACAAAACAGCCATCTGCTCTTAAAAATGAAGCACTGAATCAAAATCTTACCTTCCCAAGCATTGTCCTTTCAGCCCTTGTAACCACCTCTGCAGGGCAAGTGCTATTACATTAATACAAGTCTACATGCTAGGAAAGAGAAAAGCTACAATGTTCAGTGACTTGCTGAGTCATTTGCACAGCTGGGAGCTGCAGTCTGGCAGTAGATAATAACCTCAAGTTGTAGAGTGTTTTCCACCTTCCTGTGTTAGTACAACTAGCAAAATGCTTTCCATTTGCTGTGGGACCAATCTACAACCTCCTGTCAATTAAACAATGTAAGTATTTTATAAAATCCTAAAATTCATGCAAATATACAGCTGATACAAGCAGCACACAAAGCTAAACTTAAACCTGAGGCTAATGGAAGAACCTTGATATTGGCCTGAAGCAGAAGAACAAGCCTTTTACCATGATATGAAAAATAGTGATAAAGCCCTAGTAACAATTCTAAAAATCTTTGCTAATGCCTTACCAGTTCTCTTTTCAGTTAACGGTTTTGATTGCCATTACCTCTGTGCGATGAGTCTAGGAACTGTTGCATTGTTTTTTAAACACAAAACAGGCAGATTTTTTTATTTAAAAAAACAACAACAAATTACTCAAGTTCTTTATAACTGTTACTAACACACCCAGTAGGCTCTTCCAGTAGAGTGGACTGATAAATGTTGTTGTCAACACAGCCCGTAGTTTCATTGTGTCAAAAATGGCTGCGTGATGGAACATGCCTAATTGCAGTGTCCTCATTAACTGAGTCAGAGTATGCTAGCATGTGAAATAGCAACCATCCACTTGCAAAATTCATAGAGGCTCTGTGTTAAAATACCAACAAAGTTTGTTCAGCAGATGATAGGAAATTATTTTCATGCGCTTATGTAATAAAAGGAAAGAGAAAACGCTGAAAGAAAATCCAAGGAGGAAGTAAATGGAGACATAAAAATGTGACTGACATGAGTTCAACTGACAGTCCCCTGGAGATTCTGAACCCAAATCCTTCCTATCCCCATGATACAGCTCAATTTGAACACACTGCTGTCTCCCTATGCTGCTGGCCTTGATGCAGCAGTTGTCTTCTGCTGAACAAAGCACTCACGCACGCCTACACTGTGGCAGCTTCGCTGGCATTCAGGCCTCTGCTCAACATCAAGGCAACACTTCAGTTCTTTGCTGGAGGAGGTTTCAGCAGGAGGAAAATGCAGTGATCACGGGCTACTGAAACTGAACACTCGTGCAGAACAGAATAGAAATTTGCTTTGTAAGACTAGAATGTGACTGCTTCACTTTGTGTGCAGAACTTCCAATGCATGCAGGCACTGGAGCATGAATTACAGGTCAAGGGCCAAAGAAATGATCCAGCTCTGAATCTCCTTGCTTTCATGCATTTAAGATTCCAAACCAAAAGTCAATGGTAATATTAAACACATCTCAAGAAACAAGCAATGACCTATACTAAATCACAGTTTTGGTGACCACACGGGAACAGCAGTGGATCATATTGCATACAACAGACAAAAAAGTGAGCAACACTATCTCTTTTTCTTTAGCATGGATGTACTTAGCATATCCCTCAGCTACCTCTGTGCATGCATCTACCTCATCCATGCACTGCAACTGGTTTGCAGATGGGGAGTTATTGCTGAGAATGCTTTATTTTTCCACATGAGAAGTATCTCCTTTTTCTGATTCCCCCATCCTTTAGATTGATGTCTCATCCCTCTGCTGCCAGCTCTGCACTGCAATGTCCAGGAGACCCTTACCTTCCTCCAGAACTCCAGTCTGCTCAGAAGCTGGTGATGGAGGTGGGGAAGGAGGCAGGTTGGCTGACTCTTCAACTGCTAGAAATCAAACAGTGAAAATGAGATAGAGTCATTAATTCCAGGAAGACCAATACAAGATGTAAGCTGCAGTCAGCCTGTTCTGCCCAGCTGAGGAATTATCTGATGGGGATTCATGCCTGCCAGATTTTTAGACAGACCCTTACAGAATACATGGACTTTAAGATATTACAATAAAAGGATTTAGTCTTCTGTTGTTGATTCATTTTCTAATGGCATGAATTGCTTACAAAATTCTGGTTACAGAGCACAACATAAAAATCAAATACAAAATACTCTTTTAAATCAGTATTGACTCTTAAAAAGCATTCAGTTAACCAAGGCAACAACAAAAAAACATCTGAGCACAGAGGCATTATAAATTCACACCAACTATCAGAAACTGGCACCCAATCTCTTTAATCCACCTTCAGTACATGAAAAAACTCCATTCTCCACACTTTTTTTCTTCTGCTGCGTTCAAGGTTAATCGCAGAACACATGCAAATATTGCTTGTCTAAATGCAAAAGATATCAGCACAGGGAACTTATATCAGCTGTGACATAACAGTGATTCAGCTGAGCAAGGCACAGTGAAAACTTAGATGCACTTGGACTGGGATTTACATTCATTCCCAGTCATGAGACCAGATGCTGAAAATATTTTTTTTTCAATTACTTCAATTCAAGTATGTTGAAATTCTAAACAAGCTTCTTAAATGAATTCAGCATGACCTTTGCATTTGATCTCATACCAGTCACTTTGAGAATTTTTTTCTTTAAAAACAGATCCACTCCTGGGGCTTAACCAATGCTTAAAAAAAAAAAAAAAAAAAACCAAACAAATCTGCTTTAACAGATCTGTCTTATCAACAGCACCTTTCAACAGGCAGATATCAGTTTACTGTTCAAGGCTTCTTTCCAAGCACAGGCAGGCCACTTTCAAAGCCCCAACAGAATTTTCCAGGCTTCCTCCTATTGATTTCAGTGTGATTTGGAGAAGACCATATGTGACTTGTCCTTAAGATGTGCTGTCCAGGGACAGAGTATTTATAAACTCATCACAATGCATCTGACCACAGGAACTGTAACACCAACAGTTGTTAACTGAAGACATACTTCTCACAATGTCTTTTAAATTACTTATCTGACTAGATGGAACTGAATGTCCATTTTGCCTCTCCCAGGCCTGAGTGAAGTGATTTGGAGAATTGGGGTCTTCCATGTGAAACTGAGTCTCTGCAAAGAAGGAATTACCAAGCAACACATCTCCCTGCTGCAGTTCTAAGTTAGTTCAATGAAGCAAAAAACCGTGGGAACCAAATTTCCAACAAATATTCTAAATTACTCATTGACTTTAATTCATTCCTAGGCAAGGCCAAGTACTGCACCAAAACAAGCAGATTACCTGTGGGGAAAACACTGCAGGGCATTGTTTTGATTTAATCACAATGAACATGCACTCAGCAGAATCTATCCCAGGACAGGCTTGCATGACTTCCTTACCTCAAGATGAAGTATGTCCTTTCTCTGGCCTTTGGTGGACAAGTTTTGCACTACTGCAAAAGTTTTCTGGCAAGGAGCAAGCACTTTAGGTACAAATGGCTGTATACCTACCTTCTTTTATAGATACACACACACACACGTGCATTTCAGAGCTAATTAAACAAAGGAGGCAAGAGGAGGATGGAGACACAGCATGGGCCAGTGGCACTCTTACCCTTTCCAGTACAGACTGCTGGAATTTGCTTTTACCACGTGACTCCTCCTTCTACAGTCTGCCCTCACTCTGCCTGGTGCTCTCAACCTGGTGTGCCCCATTCCCTTCTGCTTCCTGTGGAGGTGTTCCCCCTCCATCTATTTGAGCAGCTACCACCCAACCAGCAAAGCCTCACTTTCTTTTTATTTGTCACTTCATCTTTGCCTCTTCAGACATTAATCCTTCATGTTATACATGGCTGAACACAAACAGTCCCAAACAACATGATGACAAAGCCTTACCACCAAACACATTCATGGTTGAGCTACTCAACCATGAGTCAAAAACAAGGTGAAGAACTGCTGTTAGAGTCAAACAGGGAACGAGACAGTCACAACTACATGAAGAACAAGGATCCTGCCATAATCCTGTGGTTCCAGCATTTATCCATTGGTGGCTATGGTTTAACAACACAACCATAAGCAACGTGAATACACAGCTGGAACTGCATTTTTTAATATACATACAGACATTTGCAGACACAAGGATACCTGGAACATTCTTTGCCTCATTTTACCTAAAGGTAGTGATCCAGGCTGATCTTTGTGCTGGGCTTCTTTTTCCTGTTCACCTTTCAGGACCGCTACAGCTTCAGCTGTTACTACTTGTACTATCCTCGCAGACACTTCTTCTGTGGCAGTAGCAAAGTCAGAAAAAAAGAAAGAAAAGCATGCTAATCACAATGGTGTTTTAAAATCAGAAAGATTAGCTTAAACAATAAAAAACCAGAGGCTGACTTAATCCATTTTTAAAAGGTAATCTTTTTTCCTGAAATACAAGGAAATCATTAAAAATAAAAGAGAAGAACCAGATATTCTAAAGGTTTTAGTGGAAAATGCCAAGTATTTATAAAAATCAGGAGCTTGCTCTAATCAGGATGCACAAAGCAACATTATTAAATGTTCTTTCTATTAGGGACAATGTGCAGCAACTGCAATATTTTCAGACGATCATCTATTAAATGTCTAGAAAAATGTCTGTAGGTATTGTTTTGCAAAGAGGGATAGAATGGGCAGCTGAGTAATGTAATTTTTTGACATTTAATATACAAAGTTAGCTGCATTCCAACATGCCCTTTGGACTCTAATTCCTCCTCAGCAGCACACAGTATGCATGAAAGGCAGTTCCCAGTCAGCCATCTACGCTGGTGAGGGACTTGAAGGTCCAAATAACATTCCTGCATGGTGAAAATCAATACTTCATCTTCCTCACCCCTTTGAAGACTGCCACAACAAGCTTTATTTAAACAGTAGGTCTGAGTACCATGCAGAGGGATGGCAGAGAATGACATTTTTTTTGGTGGAACGGGCTCCTTGCTGCTGGCCCCCGACCTGCTCTGTGCATGGAGCTGACTCAGGCACTGCATGCCTGACAGAGAGAACCCACATGCTTGCCACAGAACCCACACTCTGCTCTTCCCCACTGCCCACAAGGTGCAGCACACCTGAGAAGGGCAGAGAACTGCCTGCTCTGGTGAGCAGAGTGTAGCAGTAGGACCACTCAAGGAGTGAATTCTTCCAAACTGACAAACTGTCTCAGCTTGACTCCAGACCCACCCAAAAGTGCAGTGAAATGTCATCAGGCACACAGCTGCATGTGGAAGCAACCAGAGAAGTTTCCTCCCCTCTGGAAGTTCAGGTACCTTTGATGTAACAAATCAAGATGTTAAGGGCTGGTCCAGCAGCATTCAGTGAGCAAAGGGTTGGTGGTTCTTATCTGTGTGTGAGTCTGCTCTCCCTTTGTCATTAATCAATATATTTCTCTCTCTCAGCCAAACTCAGTGGAAATAAACCCCTTCCCTCTCCAGCCATATCCAAGTGCTGTCTGACAGCTGTTTCCAACACAGATGGAGCTGACCCCCAGGGAAGGCCACAAGCTGCACAGTCACAACCCACCAGCTGCACAGCTGGGCACACCTGGGAACAGAGCAAAACTTTACTGCTTCTCCAGCCCTTGTGTGGAGAGAGAGGTTTCTAATGGCAGATGTCAATACACCCTGCTCCTGCCAGAGCCCCCATTAGTCACCATCCTGAGGGCAGGAATGAAAGCTCTGCTCACTCATTACTACATCCTTCAGGCAAGAACTGGCCGGGAAGGGCAAGTATGTTTAAATCAATGCCCTACATGTAACTTCACAGCAACCAGTCTGACAAGGGACTGTCCATTAGATTAATAATGATTTATTTTCACACTTACTCTTACAGAATTCCCTTGTACTTTTAATGTGAAGCTATTCCTCTTCATTTGTCCTTTAGAAAAGCCAATTGTTTTTCCCAAAAAAACACAGATGTGAATTACCACAGCCATGTTTGTCTAAAACCGAAGTGCTAGGTTAATCTTTCTTTTACATAAACTATTTAACAACATATTAGAAATCCTCACCCACTGGCAAAGAACATTCCTAACTGTTGGTGCTTATACCTTACAATTCACTGTACTCCTGGCTGGTCACCTGGAGGGCAGTGACTGCAACAGTTCCATTGGCTGCTGCCAACAGCAGAAGTAGATGGACAAATACACCAGAACAACTACCAAGCAATGAAAAAACCAAGCTGATTTGAAAAACATGAATTTAAAAAAACATTTGAAATACATGGATATAAACTTGAGGATAAATTCAGATTAGAAATCTGAAGATGCTGCTTTCCTACTGTCAGGGGTGAGAAGTTCTGGCACATTGGAGGAAACAAATCAACTGTTTTTTGAGATGAGGCTACGTATGATAAAGGTGCCTGTAGGAAGAGGAGAATACAAATAGCAGTTCTAGTTCTGCTCTTCTGTTTAACAACACATCCCTAGTATGAGATGAAACTCCCCTTTGTGGTTAAGTAGATCAAATGGAGCACCACAACCCCACCAATCAAGTCATGCATGTGGCCAGTCCTACAGACCAAAGAACAGGGATATTGATTTAAAGCCCAGCAATCTTCCCAGCTGACTTTCAGGGGCCTGCACGTCATTTTGGGGCTTTGCACCTCATTTTGGGCTGCTTCCACACCTGCTGGACGCTGGGGGTGCTTCTTGCCACCTCTTGGTTCCTTCCTTGCATGAGAAACACAAAGCAGACGCTTCCCAGACTCTCACACGGTGCTGCTGCTGCAGACCAGTGGACTGGACACAAATCTGGAATCCTTACAGGTCCTGACAGCTCCCTGTGTTGTGAGGCTCACGCAGCCTGCAAAGCAGGAGCTGGGAAAACCTGGGAGAACAAACCTGCGGCGTGGCCCATCCTCCTCCTGCAGACACACGGGCCCTCCCCACACCACCAGCACCTTCCATGGGCTGGAGAGAGACTAACTGCTCTTCCAGAAAGCATCCTTGGATAGCTGGTGTACTCCTGTTCAGATTCTGCTCCTCCAGAGCAGGAAAGAGCATCGCCCTGACAGCTCTGGTGAGCATGGAGGACAGCACAGAGCTTCACTGAGTGCCACGGCTACAGAAGACCCCACAACAATTCCTGCCACCTGAAGGATGTGACACATGGCCCTCCTGACAAAACTTCACCAAGCTACTAACCACAACACCACAGACAAAAGCCACATCATCAAGACTATACTATTGGCTCAGATGAACAAATCAAGACTCAGTGAAGAAGACTGTTAAAAGAATTTTCCATTTTTGAAGCTTATGTTCACATGACAATTTTAACGAAAGGCTCCAATTAATTTCTGATATAGAATACGCAAACCTACATCAGCTTTCGTACCCTGGAGCATATCCAAAGGAAATCCCCTTGGTCAACTGCTTTCCATCAGCCAAGCTACTGCAACCCTCCTCTCAGCAGGATTAAAATAAATCATCAAAAACTGCCTCCTTTTTAATAAAATTTATACTTGCTCCCATCCAGCCTGGTTCTCTAGTACAAATGGGCTCTACAAGCTCAGAAGGCAGTTCTCACCCTCTCAGCTCTCTTCCTGATTTAATTTGCTTGGGACAAAGATAATGCTCTACAGGGAGCTATGAGGGAGGGTGAAAGGTTGTCTCCTGATAAACAGAAATTTCTATTTCAGGCTAGGCAAAATAAGTAAATAAAAATACAAATGGCCTCTGGGCTTGTATGTTTTGTTCAGTTTGTTTTGTTTGGCAGTGTTCTTTAATCAAGAAAGGCTTATTTCTGAACACTCTGCTGATGGATATTTTGGGTGACACAGGGGGCATGGGCAGTTCATCAGAACAGTGCTTTTGCCATACATGACTGCTGCAAAAGGACAGACTTCTCTGTACTAATGGACACTATAAATAGAAGATCCAGTGGGTAAGTCAAACCCTCACAGGGTTGCTATTGAGACTTTTCATAGTTTTCTTATGGTTCAGTTAAAGTTCAAGGCAGTCTAATGATAAAGAACAAACAAAAAAACCCCAAAAAACAAAACAAGACAAAAAAAAGGGGAAAATTAGGCAGCTTGAATAGCTGTGGATGCTGGGCTATGTATTCACTAGACATGGTTTTGCTTGTAGACATTTATTTTCCCTCTCTTTAAACAGTCAGACTCTCTCTGACTCTACTTCATGCCACAGAAATGGCACTAACATACAGAACAAGTTACAACAAATAGATTTATTTCTTAAAAGCAACAAGGAACATGGCTTTACCTTAGACTCCAGCAGAACAAAGAACAGCAACATGCTTTTTCTTTGCATTTTGTAGAGAGTAAAATGTTGCTCCTTTCACCAAGATGTCAGCTGTTCATGATACAGAACACAGATGGAGCTTCACAGCTTGATTTTAGGGAATACAGTACCCTAAGGTATAGGCAGTCCTTGAATGGGATGTCCATAACAGGGAGAAAACACAGTGAAAACCCTCAGCATGAGCTCTCCAAAGCCCTGACAGGGAGCAGGCTGAGCTGAGAGGCCAGGGGCTGACATACCAAGATGGTGGCTCTGCTGCTCCCTCAAAGGCCACTTCAGAACACACTCCAACAGGGCTGCCAGGTCAGCTCTGCCATGGCTCTTCTGTGGCAGGAACAGAGGACTCTGCCCTGCTGAGAGGACAGACCCCTCCCTGGGGCACTACATTAATTTAAACCAAAGTTAAAACTCAAACGAATTAAGCACTCTGTGCTCCTGGTTTTGGAAGTCAGCCCAATTCTACAAACCCCAGCATACCAAATCAGGAGATCAGGAATCTCTGCGTCCCAGAGACGACTCAGGGACACAAACTCTTTCCAGAGTGCTAAGATGCACAGAGGATGCTGAACCAGCTGTGATGGGCAGCCACAGCCTTCCTTCGTGGCTGTGTTTAGACCTGCTGCCTCCAAAGGCTGCTGCCCTCCTCACAAGTACACCCACAGGAGCTGCCCAATCCCCAGTCCAGCCACTCTAGCACTGAGAATTACACCACAGCAGGCATCATTCCTGCACTCCCCCCTCATAGCTGAGGCCCCCTTCCCAGACAGAGACTCAGACAGGGCTGGTAAATGAGGTTACATGCCAAAGACTGGCTGCAGCACGATGCAGTATCTGGGATCAGATCCTGTACAAGGCCAAGATGTAATTTCAAAGCTCTCCTTCGTTCCTTATTGATCCTGCTGCATTTGTCATTGGACTGCAGATGTCTCCACTGGCACATTACCTACAATACTTCTATTTCCCATGACAGCTTTCCATTCCATTAACTTTTATAACAGA